TATTTTCTTGCCACGTTGATACTATAACACATTGAAGTGGTTAGCAGACTTGAGTGCTAGGCCTAATAATTCTACACCGGTAAGTTGGCTTATATTTAATTGTTTTAACATTAAAAAAAACTTAAAGTACCTGATACTAAATAGGATAGTATTATTATAATAGCTATAAATATGAAGGACAGGTTCTTAAAAATTAACAATTAGTCTGATAGACATTTCACGTGCGAAATGACCAATAGATTGTAAATCAATCAGGTACAGTGCAGTAGATTCAACAAATAATGTCCGGTAGGGCCTACATATTTACAGACGTACTAAAGGTAATCTCTCACAAACTCAATACACATGGGCCTATACAATTCTTCTTATGTTTTTCTTTCTGATTCTGGTGTTATTTCTTATTGTTAAAATTAATTTAAATTTTGTTATGTATTTATTAATCTAGGCCTACCGTAACACTTCGAATTGCGAACTTTAGATTGGCTTCTTTTCGAGGCTACTTTTGCAAAGTTAAGAGGGTGGCTTCTTTTTAAAATGAATGCTGTAAATTTTGTAAAGATTTTTGTCCAGTAATCTGTAAGGAAATTAAGTTTCAAAGGTATCCTTTATTTTATAACACATTTATTGTCCAACTATAAAACGTATATATTCATATAATGTATATGATCTTAAATTATTGCAAGAGCACTTGTCACGATGTGACCCCTAAATATATATGCGGTCAGACCTGTCAACCTGTACGCATTCGCCGTAAGTATTACGCATTCCAATCCAAATGACATGCTTCCATTGGATTTAAAATGTGTTGAGAGGCATAATCTAAGAAGAGAAGCCGGCAGCTGACTCTCCGGAAGAGTTTATTTTATTTTTTAATTTTTATTGTTATATTATTTTGCTTTTTAAGCTGCTGGCACCTAGCTATAATTGTAGTCTTGCTTGATTTTTTATTTCCTTTTTTTTTTTTATCTTAAAACAAATGAATGATTGTTAGATAGGATAATTTATATGAAAGAATGGTGGTGGTGGTGCTGTTCTTTATATTTGAAAACGGAGATCTGCATACGGAATCTGAAAATTCAAAACAGTACCATTTATATTTTACGCAAAGTCGAAAAAAAAGGCCAAAGCAATGCTCTACTTAAAGTTTTAAAGTTTTTCTAGATGTGTTGAAAGGAGTTAGTCGTTAACACTGTTTGAATAAATATAATTTAAATCATCAAAGGTACATATACAGTGTTTACATAAGGACACGATGAAACATCGTAGGCTACCCTGTAGCTTTCAACGAATGAAGTCCTATAAAAGTCATTGTGTAATAAAATGCCTCCGACGGGATAAATCCCGCAGGTTCGAATCATTTTTAATTCCTATATTTCATTCCCATAGTACTACCATGTAGCAATAAAAATAATTCCCTGTAGATTTTTCATGTTTTTAATATAAAGTAACTATAATTAAAGGATGAATTGTAACGTCGGTTACCATGGAATCCCCCAAATGATTATAAAGCATATGATATAATTAGAAAAAAAAAATATTGTAGCAATGAGTACCCATAATTGACTGACTAATAAATCACAATTGTTACAATATTTTCATGTATTAAGTTACCGGTATTAAAATTTCGCTAGGAAAGAAAATAATATTTTATAGTTAACTTTTCCTAATAATGATTGTTATTTCCTAACTAATAACTGTTGTTCTTGGAGGGTAACCCAGATGTGTGCCCTGTTTTACACTGGGCCGCCTATCAACACTTAAATGAACCTGCAGAAAACCATAGTGTATATCTTGCTACATTTCAAAAAGTCTATTGAGTGAAAGTAGGTAAACATTATTTCGAGTTTTCTCAAATTATTTGTGAATACACTGTTTACTGGAATTAACTACCAAAATAATGTTAAATAATTGTTTGGTGACCATTCCCACAACTAGACATTGGGACATGGTTAATTGATAGCAAGCTATGTTAAATAATTGTTTGTTGACCATTCCCACAACTAGACATTGGGACATGGTTAATTGATAGCAAACTATATTCAATGATTTACTGTGACAATAATGTAAAGTTTGCTACAAATAGAAAAAAAAATTCAAACACAGATGAGCATATTAGGTGCATAAAAAGAAAATGACAATAACATACATAATCCTAACATGCACAAAAAAAAATGTCAACATAGGTACTATATGTACACAGAAGACTATACAATAAATAAACAAACAAAACGTTTCTCTTTTTTACTATATACCTGTTGCCGTTTAAAATTGTTTCATGATGCAGTTACTAGATCTAAAATTCATAACACTATGCTTAGCGATATTGAGGGATGAAAGTAGCAACATGAGGACGTAACTCGAAAAATAAAGGCAGGCTAAGTCATATTACTACCTAAAAATGGAAAATTAGAATAACATTTGGGCATGATCATCTAAAAGGCTATGTAGGCATAACATCATACCTAGGCCAGCTTAGACAATAAAATAAATAATAATAATAATAATAATAATAATAATAATAATAATAATAATAATAATATATTCTTATTATTATTATTATTAAGAATAAGAATAAGAATAAGAATAAGAATAAGAATAAGAATAATAATAATAATAATAATAAAATCAAATCTTATTATTATTATTATTATTATTTATTAAGATTTGTAAAGTGTATAATACATAGGTCTCTAAAAATATCCATCAGAACACCTCCTTACGATTATAGTAATATAGCCTAGGACCACAAACAATTGCATCTTCTTCAAAACACGTTCTTGTAAAAATCAGGAGCAGAGCCAGAATTTTTCAAACGAGAGTAAGGGAAAGGGGGGGGGGTGAACAATAATCTCAGAATAGGTAAGTTAGTAGCACATAACATTAATTTGCATTGAAAATTTTAAAATTTAGTGGCAAATGCGTTTCTATTCCATTGTACCATTCTCTGGCTGATAAGTAATGCCTTGCCTAAATGGCTATGGCTTACAGAGGGGTGTAAGTTATTGTATTGAATAGCTGACAAAACAAGGCATCCATATGTGCAAGCAGTGGTGTTTGTTTATCCATGAAAAAGCACGCCGGGATAGTTTGCCTTACCAGGAAAAGGTGACGTAATCTAGCTTATGACGGTGGCCTTAGATATGTAATAATTATTAATACAGAAAGGTAATATTATGTTACAGCATTATTATTAGGGTATTATAACAGGGTAGGTATAGTACCTGTCTCTTATACACATCTAGATGTGTATAAGAGACAGCTATTGATGTCATTTTTAATTTTAAATTTGTAAGACATCTATTGTATTTACCTTTTTGTACAGTTATTTATTTAAGCTGTACATTTATTTATTTAAGTTATTTATTTTAAAAATTATGACATTAGGAATTTTTAAGAAATCCAATCGGGACATGCAAAGTGCGCGACTTTGGAGGCTTTTTGTTGAAAAATAAACAACATGTTGATTACTTTTAAAATATTTAACAACTTATTTCATTAACAAATATGTTCGAGATTGCATTAACGCAATAAAAATAAAACTTCCTTTAATATTTTAAAATTTATACTACATCAAAACAGAGGGACGGGAAAATGGCACTTTACCGAAGAATGACCCGAAAAAGCACGCCGGGATAGTTTGCCTTACCAGGAAAAGGTGACGTAATCTAGCTTATGACGTATGCAAGCTACTTTTCTGAGTGTGACGTCACCAAAAAATACAGCTCCCACTGACGTCTCAGTCGAGAAATACGGGTAGCTGAATTTTTTCTCGCAAATCTGACTACGAAACCATATCCAAATTTCACGTTCCACTGACCCTGATTCGCACTCTCCGCTGAGGGCGGCGTTCCGGGAACCCTGCGTCAAGATGTGCCTTAAGGAATGCCTATACCTAATGATCTTTATTCAAGATGCGGTATTGCCAAGTATTCAGTGTCTTTAGGTCTTTATCTGCCAGGGGAAAAAATAGAGTAGGCCTACTATTATTAGATAGACCAGGAGCCCAGTGGTATCAGCATAGCTGGAAAGTTAACCATTTTTTGTGTGTATAGTTACTAATGGTCTATGTGCCTGTCTATGTAGGAACATGGGCATCTGCCGGTCCCATTGTGGTGTGGGTGTGGTCAGGAAGGGCATAAAAAAGGGTAAACAAGCTACTTGTGAATTAACCCAATGATCAGAATATATTCAGCATAGTTGAAGATATCATGAATGGTCAATTCCAGCTTATGGATAATGGCAACCATTTCAACCTCCAATAAAGGAGGTTATGCATTCACAGTTGTGTAACGCTGGCATAAGTTTTTTAGATCCAGCCGTACGCGGCGCCCCATCGTTTGTATTCCCACTATGCATTTCGTTGCAGTTTTTTTCTGTGGAGAACTCGATGTTTCTCTGATCTAGGAGTAGCAAAGATACTATAAATACAAGATAGAGTTCTCTACAGAAAAAAAAAGTGTTCCACCGAAATGCATGGTGAGATAACAAACCATGGGGCGCCCCGTACGAATGGATCTAAAAAACGTCTACCAAACTTTCGTTACCAAGTCGTCGCGTATTTAATTGAATTCTCAATTTAAAAATTGTACACAATTAAGTACAATTGTACCCAGACAGTGACAACAGTGAATACATAACCTCCTTGGCGGAGGTAGAAATCGTTGCAATTACCAAAATAAAACACATAATTGATCCATGGGCTTAATTGTGTGTTTTATTTGGGTAGAAATCGTTGCTACTACCAAAATAAAACACACAATTAAGCCCATGGATCAGTATAGAACAATAGCGCAGAATCGTATGACCGGACGCACTCTTAGTAAAAAAAGTTTTCCTCCATTAGTGGAAAAGGAAGGGCGCCGTGTGCGTCTGGATATACTTAGCAACAGAAGGGCGCCCTGTACGTCGGGAACGAAGTATAGAAAACTTGCATGGTTAAAAAGAAGGGCGCCGCCTACGTCGGGCACGATTTCCGCCTCATTTTCACTATGCGAGTGCTCTATCTTGTATTTCTAGCATCTTTTTCTTTGGTAGCAGTTGAATTTGCGCTGACTTGACTGACGTGCTTGCTGAAAAAGAAAAGCTAGGCTAGGCCTACTTGTTTACTTGTGGTAGTCCCTCGAATTGAAGTCTTTTGTAGAAGGGCTATCTGACTTGAGGAATTGAGGATAATTGATTGATTCATTTGTTTTTTATTTTAGGCAAATTACTGGTTCTTTCACTTTGATATGGGAGTGGAGGTTGAAACTTTGAAAGCAGGTGATGGTAAGCGGGTTCACTTTTTCCTTAATTCGGCCTAGGCCTATGCCTACAGGCTACAGTATGCCTCATACTAGACATAGGCCTAGTAGTAGTAGGCCTAGGAGGAATGGGGGTGGGGGCTGGTGTCTTGATCTTCATATGATTGATAGACTCCGGCTGGAGTATCACTCAACGGCTGAATAGTGGCGACAGAGGAGGGACTGGCCTAGTAGGCCCCCTAAACTAGTCAAAGCATAAAATGATAAAGAAAATAAATTTTATTTTCTTTCTCTGGGCCTAGGCCTAGTCAAAACTTGCAATTTGCTTGCAAAAGGCAACAGAATTATTAATTGAGGTAGAGGAATAAGGGAGGGCATTCCAGTCTTTAGCTGTGTTGGGGAAAAAGAAATACAGGTAGCGAATCTGTCTTCGCCTTTGGTATCATTAAAAGGGGATTATGATTTCTAGTGCACCTCGCAGCAGTCGCTCGTCTGTTAAATTTTTTAGGTGGTTATCAAACACACCCAGAGTTTGGCCTCAAACTGATAAACTCAGCAGGCCGCCAAGGATTACACTGATTAAAATCAGTAGTTAACGATGCTTACTACTGTATACTGACTGGGTCTTTAGGCGATTCAAAACAAGGAAACAATTTACACACTTCACAATAATATTAACTGTTAAAATATAACATAAAAAAATCCGTATTTTTATTCGTAACAAGCTTGAAAAACTCATAAATCCCAAATTACTCCATTCGTTAAGGAATTTCAATTAAGAAATTAACAACAACATTTAAAGGCCAACTCAGACAGCGTCGTACGACGCAGCCCAACGCGATTTGTTGTGTGAGTTCAACGCAGATGCGATGGTGTGCAAACAAAAACATAGAAGACTTGATGTGGAATGCAACTACTGTAAAACATAAACACAGTACATTAGATAAAACAACCTTTATTAATTGAATTTAAGTGGATTTCATTCATAAAAGTAGTTATTTTATACCAAAATCGGCTGGAATCTTCAATAAATAAGCCCAAAAACAAGTCCATTGTATACTCGGTGAAAATTTCTCGCACAACATGCTTATAGCCTGTAAGATAGTAGTACAGTATAATAAGTATTAAAATGCACGCCATCGTGTTGGGATTAAATATTTCGACATGTATGTCATTATCAGAAATGATGAATAATTTCTTAAATCTAAAGGCATCGTACTAAAAAACAAATTATACTCCGTTGGAAAATGGACTGTTCCAAATCTCTCAATACTCGCACCCACGTGTGGTGTGATCATGCAAGCTTCTCTCTTGAAAATTTGCTGGAGTAAAAGAAGACAGCGCATTTTAATCAGATTTATATCTCCCTCATTATACAGATGATAGGCTTGGCAGATTTTATTTAGGCCAGCGTGTAACACTGCCTTACTTTGAATGTCTATATACCTTCAATATTTCGATCTTTATTTTGAAGAAATAGTAAAATATTCATGAGCCTTTCTTTAGCAGGCGTTCGCAAATTACACACTCAGGAATGTTAGCCTAGGGCACGGCTTTCGCTACGTACTGGGTCGGTTCTCATCTTTATTGTTAACTGTGATCGATTATACTGTAAACTGAAGAAATTAGAAATAATGTCTGATTCTAATTTCACTTTATAAAACATAAATGATTTTAACTAAAATTCAAAGTACAGTACAACACTTTATGAGATGACGATGAAAAAGTAGGTTGTTACGAACGGAACATTATAATTTTTTTTTACTGAGATATCAAGTGAGTCCTACAGTATACTACATGATTCAATCACTATCACAAGGTTTGGATAGGGTTTGCGGTGGTTTTTTTTAGGTTTTTGGGGTTTAGCAATGTTTTTATACAAAAAATGGCCTTTTTACCCAAAAAGTAGGTTGTTACGAACATAAAATTATATTTTTATTGACTAAGATACCAAGTTCAGTCCTATACTACATGATTCAATCACTATCACAGGGTTTAGATAGGGTTTGCACTGTGTTTTTGGAGGTTTACGGTGTTTTATAGGTATTATTATAAACAAAAAATCAGAGTTTGGATGATGTTTGCAGTGTTATTTTTTTGGAGGTTGCGGTGTTTTTTTTTTAGGTTTGCAGGGTGTGCAGGGTTTAGCAACACCCATCTACACCAACACTTCAGCTAGATTTGAACTCGTCACTGAGGACGAGTTTGGTGATCAGCTTATCAGGCAAAAGAAATGTCTCTGCGCTTAAAAGTATGAATTATGGAAAACTACCATAGCCAGGATTTTCAAACAGTGTAAGACAATATCAAGTCCGCTGCACTCTCTTTGCGTTCTGAAAAAAACTGAAGAAAGAAAGAGGTGTGGAGGAGTCAGAAAAACATTCATTTTGACCATGATGACTTCATCAAAGTGAAAAATGAATGACACTTTGTGAAAGCAAACAGTCTTTAGCGATAACATACTCAAAGGTGGGAGATGATTGAACAACAATAAGCGAGATACGTTCAAATGAATATAAAAATTATGACGTAAAAAATAAGTTATATAAATTCAGATGGCAATATTATGACGTCACAATGTCCGATCAGCCATAATGATCTATAAAATGATATCTACAACTCATATGTAATAACAATTAGGGGTCACCTTTCATCCTAGGGAGCTATAACTGATTAAAAATAGGTATAATTGTAAGCTTACATAAATTTTGACGCACACATACGCGCTCACTTAATATTATTTAGATATGATGAATGGTTTAAAGATATGGGGGTCATCAATGTTTTGAAGAAAGAAAGATGACGGGGTCAGAAAAAACATTTATTTTGATCATGATGATGTCATCAAAATGTAAAAATATATCACATATGAAAGAGAATTGTCTCAGCTATAACATACTCAAATTTGGGAGATGATCAATCAACGATAAGTGAGATGCGCTCAAATGCGTATTTTCTCAAATGACGTCACATAAAATTCAGTTTCTTTGAAATCAGATGGCAGTATGATGACGTCACAATGTCCGATCAGCCATTATGATCTATAAAATCATATTTACAGCTCATGATTGTGCTTTCAGAATATGTAATAAAAATTGGGGGTCACTATTCATCCTAAAGGAGCTATAACTGAATAAAAATAGTCCTGATTTTAGCATATTTTCACTGCGCGCACAAACGCGTGCAGAGATCCCATGTATGATGCGCCTGACAGCATTGTTATTGACCATAAGGTGACCGAACACAATGGAAATTTGTGAAAACAATGTCAGGAACTCAAAATATGCAAAAAACGTAATTTCTAGCTTCCGTACGTGCTGCGTGCTTAGAAATGCGCGCGTGTTGTGGAAAATTTAACAAAATTTTGAAATGTTGAAAATGACCTGAAATGTGCTCAAATTTAGTCAAAAAGTGATTTTGAGCATTTTAAAATTTTGACGCACGTGTGAGCACGTATTATGACGCGCACGCTAAACATTTTGGTACGTGATATTCAACCTTGACTTAAAGTTTATGCCTACCGAATATGATTGAGAAATAACAATTAGTTTAAGGATGATATGATCGATAATGATAAAACGCAAAATTGCGTGTACTGTAGATGACATCACGCATGACTGAGCACATTGAAAACCTTATTGTGACTATTCCAGGCCAAGCCAAATGTTTGATGAAGCGCGCATGTGCGTAGCTCGTGCTAATTTTGAGAAATATGAATGAAGTTTCAGAGTAATATACCTTGCACATTTATCTGCTAAAAATAATTTGTAACATGCATTACAAGTTGGCGGTCTTCCTTGTGATGGGTGTGTTTGGTTGGATTGGTTGTTGTTGGGCAAAAACTAACCTACTGTATGACATCAAGAAAGAAAAGTTTAGGCAAAGGCTGGTCTAGCTTGAGGTAAAGACTAAAGCTAGCGCCTATGCCACTATAAACTAGTTTTAAATAGGCCACTGAATCACAGGACAGTTTTCTAATAGCATTTGCCACTTTGAAAATTCGTCGCTCACATCACGAACTAACACAATTAAATTCAATTGTGTTAGTTCGTGAAATCGAAAAAGCGCGTCAAAATACGCGCTGTTGTCGTCAAGGACTTTTTGTGTGGTAAAGAATACAAAATTGCTTGACAACCAATACGCGCTCGTTTTGATGCGCTACTGTGATTTCACGAACTAACACAATCTACTTTGATTGTGTTAGTTCGTGATGTGAGCGACGAATTGATGTCATGTTCGTTGTGTTTA